TGTCTCAATTTGAACACCTAAAATAAGTCACTTTTGAAAATTTAGGCCTTGGTGGTCTCTATATACATGTCTGTGTAAAAGACAACTGTGAAATTGTGATTCCTCCCCTGTGCTGAGTGCACCAATTTATACTGCTTTCTATCCTTCTGAAACAGAAATAAAGACTGAAGTCTGTACACTAAATCTTAGAAAAGTACCAGCTTGTCAGCTGTATAGTAGATTTTTATATAGCATCAAATGATTTATTTCTCATTTTCATTTTTTGGCAGCACACAAATATTATTTGCAATTCAAACATTCCTTTTCATTGACATTAACTAGAATATATTTCACAAAGGTGCAAATAAAAATCCTTTTTATTTACAGGTTCTGGCATTCTCTCTTTTTCTTAACTACTGAATGCGAGCTTCAAAAACCGGTATGAATGCAGCCCCAATCTAAAGGCTTTTTTATGAGCTCATTCACCTTGACTCTCACTGGTTTTACTAAAAGGTCTTCCTTGGCACTATGCAGAGATTAATTCAGAGCCACATAGGTAAAGGAAAGACCTCCAACAAAGAGTCCAGGTCCCAAGATTTGAAAAGTCTGACAGCAGCACTGTTTCACCGTTTCCATCACATCAGTCAACAACTTACAGCGAAAATAGTTTGAGTCAAGGTGAATGAGCTTATAAAAAAGGCTTTAGATTGGGGCATTGAACCACAAAGTGCCCTCTGCCCACCCCTGGAGCTGGAGGAGCAGTTACCTCACCAGGCTCCTTCCTCTCTACCCCCAAAGACGGTGGGTGGGAGTGAACATGCAGTACCCCTTGAAGATAAAGGAGTAGAAGAAAGATTACAGCCACCGCGCAACCCCCTCCCCACCCAAGATAACATCAAAGGAAGAGGAGGCCCTACAACCTTGGGTCCCTAGACTTCCAGTGCAGGAGATGCTAGCCAGGGTAGGGAAGAAAGCCCCAAGAAAGGGGATGAGCAATACTTGGGACACTCCAAACACTGTTCTGGAACATTCAGCTGCTAAGAACAGCACCAAAAGCTGGGACAATTTTTATTTGGGTCGCATATCCCTGCTGTGTACAAGGCCTCAGAATTCTCTTTAAATGTCACCAGTGGCCGCTTCTCCTTATATCTGGGAAAACACTGTTGCACAGAGAACGAATAACACAAAAAATATGGCCACTAACCACACCATTGCTAAATCATCCTTTTGCCTGGCATACTAATGGTTCCAGTTATCTGGGGAAGGTGGATGAGAGTAAATACTCTTTCCATTCTCTAACCAGGGACAGGAAAGGGGCAGAGCCAGAATACATAAGAACATAACATAAGAACGGCCATACTGGGTCAGACCAAAGGTTCATCTAGCCCAGTATCCTGTCTTCCGACAGTGGCCAGTGCCAGGTGCCCAGAGGGAATGAACAGAACAGGTAATCATCAAGTGATCCATCCCCTGTCGTTCATTCCTAGCTTCTGGCAAACAAAGGCTAGGGATACCATTCCTGCCCATCCTGGCTAATAGTCATCGATGGACCTATCCTCCATGAATTTATCTAGTTCTTTTTTGAACCCTGTTATGGTCTTGGCCTTCACAATGTCCTCTGGCAAGGAGTTCCACAGGTTGACTGTGCATTGTGTGAAGAAATACTTCCTTTTATTTGTTTTAAACCTGATGCCTATTAATTTCATTTGGTGACCCCTAGTTCTTGTGTTATGAGAAGTAGTAAACAACACTTCCTTATCTACTTTCTCTACATCAGTCTTGATTTTATAGACCTGAATCATAACTCCCTTAGCTGTCTCTTTTCCAAGCTGAAAAGTCCCAGTCTTATTAATCTCTCCTCATATGGAAGCCGTTCCATGCCCCTAATCATTTTTGTTGTTCTTTTCTGAACCTTTTCCAATTCCAATATATCTTTTTAGAGATGGGCCAACCACATCTGCACACAGTATTCAAGATGTGGGTGTGCCATGGATTTATAGAGAGGCAACATGATATTTTCTGTCCTATTATCTATCCCTTTCTTAATTATTCCCAGCATTCTGTTTGCTTTTTGACTGCTGCTGCACATTGAGTGGATGTTTTCAGAGAACTATCCACTATGACTCCAAGATCTCTTTCTTGAGTGGTAACAGCTAATTTAGACCCCATCATTTTATATGTATAGTTGGGATTATGCTTTCCAATGTGCATTACTTTGCATTTATCAACATTTAATTTCATCTGCCATTTTGTTGCCCAGTTACCCACTTTTGAGAGATCCTTTTGTAGCTCTTCACCATCTGCCTGGGTCTTAACTATCTTTAGTAATTTTGTATCTGCAAATTTTGCCACCTCACTTGTTTACCCCTTTTTCCAGATCATTTATGAATACGTTGAATAGGACTGGTCCCAGAACAGACCCGTGGGGGACACCATTATTTACCTCTCTCCATTCTGAAAACTGACCATTTCTACCTACCCTTTGTTTCCTATCTTTTAATTAGTTACCAATCCATGAGAGCACCTTCCCTTTTATCCCATGGCAGCTTACTTTGCATAAGAGCCTTTGGTGATGGACCTTGTCAAAGGCTTTCTGAAAATCTAAGTATACTATATCCACTGGATCCCCTTGGTCCACATGCTTGTTGACCCCCTCAAAGAATTCTAGTAGATTGGTGAGGCATGATTTCCCTTTACTAAAACAATGTTGACTCTTCCTCAACAAATTATGTTCATCTATATGTCTGACAATATTGTTCTTTATTATAGTTTCAACCAGTTTGCCCGGTACTGAAGTCAGGCTTATAGGCCTGTAATTGCCAGGATCACCTCTGGAGCCTTTTTAAAAAATTGGCATCATATTAGCTATCCTTCAGTCTCTGGTACAGAAGCGGATTTAAATGATAGATTACAGACTACAGTTAGTAGTTCTGCAATTTCACATTTGAGTTCCTTCAGAACTCTTGGATGAACACCATCTGGTCCTGGTGACTTATTGCTGTTTAATTTATCAGTTTGTTCCAAAACCAAAGGCTTCACTTCAGCAATCCTTGACTGGTGTATGGCTCATAGCAGGTAGTAGACAGCAGGCATAGTTGGAGCATTTTCAACAGGAAAGGCACAGTACTTGAAAACTGTGAGGAGGAGTGGCCGTGAAAGGAAAGGTGGGGTACTCTGGAAAGCCAGGAGCCAAGAAACAGCCATGATGAGCAAACGAGGTAACAAGCTCCTGTCTACTTTAATCTGTGATTACTGGCACTGACTTTTAGCACTAATACCCTGCTGCAGTAAACGATCACATCCGATACATGCAACTGTATCATTAACTGTTCTGTCCATTATTTGGCTTCCATTTTAGCTGCAGGCAAACACCATTTCCAGTTCTTATTTGGCTGCCTACTCAGTTATATTCAGTTTATCACACCTACTTTAAACAGTTGTTTGTTACATCAGCATAGGACAAGGGAGGGCAAACTATGGCCCGCGGGCCGGATCCGGCCCATCAGGGCTTTCAATCCGGTCCGTGGGATTGCCGGCCTCGTGGTGCAGCGGGGAACTGCAACCAATGGGAGCTTCGGGAGTGGTATCCCGCAGGCAAGGGCAGCGTGCGGTGGAGCCGCCTGCCCCACCCCACTTCCAGGAGCCACTGCCGGACATGTTGGCCACTTCTGGGAGTGGCGCAGGGCCAGGGCAGACAGGGAGCCTGCGTTAGCCCGGCTGCGCACCGCTGCCACCCCGGAGCCACTTGAGGTAAATGGCACCAGGCCGGAGCCCGCACCCCAAACCCCTCCTGCACCCCACACCCAAGTACCCTGCCCTGAGCCCCCTCCTGCACTCCACACCCCAACCCCCGCTGAGCCCCCCTCCTGCACCCTGAACCCCTCCTGCACCCCCTTCCTGCACACCACACCCACTCCCACACCCCGCACTCCCTCCCGCACCCCAATCCCCTGCCCCAGCCCTACATTCATGGCCCTGCATACAATTTCCACACCAAGATGTGGCCTTCGGGCCAAAAAGTTTGCCCACTCCTGGCATAAGAGCAGGATGGAAACTGATTTATAGACTAATACAATGGCCTCCCATGCTGATGGTATCTGCAAGATACCTGCCATTACTATCTCACAAATAGCAGTTCTAAACTACACATTTTAATCTCAAATGCATTTCACTCATTGTAGTTGGTGTGAAATGTTTTAATTATATTTAGACTGCTGCGTTGAACAAAATGCATGCAACTTTCTTTAAAAACCTTTTCAAATTAATCTATCTTCTTCTTGGGCATCTAGGACAATGGTATGTGACTGTCTCACAACTATTCAAGGATTTATCCTCACAATATTCTTGCGAGGCAGATAAGACTTATATCCATTTCATGGATGGAAAAAACAGAGGCACAGAACAGGGTCACACCAGGAATCTGTGGCAGAGGTGGGCACTGAACCCAGATTGCCTGAGTCGTGGTCCAATGATTTAATCACAAAACCAGATATCAACCCCTGGCATTTTGATGAATTATTTAGGAATTTTGTTTCGTTTTGCTAGGTGTCAAAATAATTTTGAAAAATATATGCAACAAAACAAATAAAATGTTTCAAAATGCATTATTCATTATTATCCAAAGTGCATGCATGATAAAGTATGGAATTTTGATATGTAGATTTAGAAATGTGTAAATATAACAAGAATAAAAATTTACAAAAAAAATACTTGCACACTTCCCAAATTGAAACACCTTACAGACTGGTGTAAAGGGACAAATTCAACTCTCAGTTATACTGCGTAAATCCAAAACTCTACTGCCTTCAATGGAGCGGCACTGGATTCACACTGTTTAACTGAGACCAGTGTGTAGCCCAGATATAATGATGAGCAATTAAAATAATGCTATATTCTAATTTGGAAGCAGTACAGCCTTTATATTTGTCAATAGCAATTAGCTGATGCTGCACTACTACACATGAATTTGAAGTAGATATAGCAAAGAGATTCCATTTACTTTCCCTTTCCCCACAACAAACCTGGCATGTCGGATAGAAGCAATTGCACTACTAAATTCACTGTCAATGCTTCTACAGTTGTAGAACTCCTCATAGGCTGGCCTGGAAGAGCCTTGGTATTCAATGCGGCTGATGCGACATATCCCCACAATCAGAATGATCAGCATAAGGACAAATGCGACACAGAGGGCTCCAATTATGATGTAGAGGGAATGACGAGGCATGTTTGTTAGACTCTCTGCCATGTGCCCAGACTTCCACTGCAGATCTGGCAATAATACATAAATAAATACAAAAACAAAATTATTATTTTATTTCCTTCCTGCTGAATAGAAATTGAGTGCATTCATTTCCAACATTTCTATATAGACTTCTGTTGTTAAAGATATTCGACTTTAAAGTTATATTTTCCATTTGAGGGTCAGCCATGGACATAGCTGTTTTTAACATGCTGTAAATACCAGTATCACAAAATCTGAAAGAGAGTTTTGATTTTGATTGGCCATGTAACTGCTGATTGATGATCATCGGTTGCAATGGATACAAGAGCAGGGTTCTAATTACCAGCTCTGCCACTGATTTGCTCTATAACCTTGAGCAAATCACTTAACCTCTCTGTACCTCCATTTTCCCATCTATACTTTCATAGTTTATTTATAGCTTTCAAAGTCAGAAGGGAGCATTACATCTTCTAGTTTGTTCTCCTGTATAAAACAAAGGTCACAGAATTCCACACAGCTACCCTGGCACTGAGCCTAATAACTTGTGTTTGACTGAATCATGTCTTCCAGAAAGGCATCCAGTCTTGATCTGAAGACTTCAAGAGATAGAGAATCCACCACTTCCCTTGGTAGTTTGTCCAATGATTTATCACTCTCCCTGTTAAAAATTGATGCCTGATTTCAAATTTGAATTTGTCTGTCTTTAACTTCTGGTCACTGCTGCTTCTTCTGCCTTTCTCGGCTAAATTAAAGCCCTTTAATACGTGATATTTTCTCCTTGTGAATGTACTTCTACACCATAATCAAATCACCTCTCAAACAGATTGAGTTCCTGTAAGTCTTTTGCTGTAAGGCATTTTCTCTAGCTCTTGAATAATTTGTGTGGCTCTTTTCTGCATCCTCATAAATTTTTCAACAGCTGTTTAAAAAAATGTGGACACCAGAGCTGTATCCAGTATTGGTGTCATCAATGCTATATACAAAGGTAAAATCACCTCTCTATTTCTATTCACTATTCCCCTTGTTTATACATCCAAAGATTGCATTTGCCCTTTTTGCCACATCAGTTCATGGGGGGGAGACGCATATTGAGTTGCTTGTCCACTATGACCCCTAAAATCCTTTTCAGAGTCACTGTTTTCCAGGATACAGTTCCCCATTCTGTAGGTGTGACTTGCACTCTTAGATTTATGACCTTGCATGTGATTGTATCAAAATACATCTTGTTTAAATGGGTCCAGCTTGCCAGATCACTCTATATGACTTGCCCTGTCCTCATCATTATTTACCATTCTGCCAACATTTGTCTCATCAGCAAGTATTATCAGCAGTGATTTATATTTAATACCAGATCATGCTCCAGATCTTCTTGGAATCAGAGAATTGTAGGATCGGAAGGGACCTCAAGAGCCCCTGTGCTCAAGGCAGGACTAAGTATTATCTAGACCATCTCTGACAGGTGTTTGTCTAACCTGCCCTAAAAAATCTTTAGTGACAGAGATGCCACAAAAATCTCCAATGATAGAGATTCTCACTCAAGAGCTGTGAGACACTCACTTTTATGTAGCACTTTAAAACCGACAGTTGTTACTATTACTTCACTTGCAAAAAAAAAAAAGAAAAAAAGAATCACCCTTGGACACAATTAAATAATTTAAAGGACTCCTGTAGGGCAAAACAGCTGCAAAAGAGGTTCCTGGTAAAAGAGGTTCCTGTGTGGAGTAACTTTCTCATTGACTTGCGAGCATATATCTCAAAGGGTTTGCAAAATATTAAAGACTGACTATTAAACTATTAAGTCATTCAAGCAGTGCAATATACAGCTATAAGTAAGTAGACTGTACTTGATTACAGGCAATCCAAGTCCTGAGCTTCCCATACTTTCTACCCAAGGAAATAAAAAAAGAACAGTTCTTAAATCTCGGATACACATCCCGGGAGATTACAGTTGTCTGCCTTGATAAAATAAGCAGGCTTCACTTGAAAAGAAAGCATTTCAGTACTCTCTGTGTGAGATCCAGATAAGGAGATAGCATAGCCCTGGTGTATGCTCACATTTGACTGATGCCTTTTAACACAAGCCTATTATTTTTGCATCAAAATATTTCCACTTCATTTCAGCTATTTAATCATCAGGAAAATCACATAAACATGACTGAGTCTCTGCATGTTTTATGTTGGGTGATTGGGCTCTAAATAAATAGATTTTGTTTTATAATACAGTCAAAGATTCATTTAGGGCCAGACTGTTCCTAACCCTTACAGGAGGTACATGACGATGGGGAGGTGGAAGGATTCACCACAATTGCAGTCCTTGTGCTCAAGGGGGAAAACTGCTCCCTTCCTTACTCCCCTGGGGTGCATGGTGCCCCAAAGGGATAAGGAGGTGAGATCCTGGCTTTAACCCCCTACACTTACAGAACAAGCTGATCACATTGCAGGGAGCACCCTGGACCTAATAAAGGGGTTGCAGTACTGAGCATGCATAGGCTTGTTTGTATTTGCTTTTGCACAGAACCCTGAAATTCTGATCAATCTGAACCACAAAGCATTTAATGATTTAATGTTTTTAAGGATTTAATATTGTCATGTTCTCTGCTTGCTAGTGAATGAAATGGCCCAGCTGTGTGGAGTTTATTTCAATTTTGGAAGAGCCGCTGTTTTCGCCCATAGCACATCTATCAGACACGCTGTTCTGTTGGAAAATACACTCGGCCAAATTCAGACCTAATGTCAGCAGATACATTTCCACTGGAGGCATGGAAAACCTGATTCTGGCCCACTGTCTTCAATCTCTGGATAAGGATGTGAGGAATTTCTTCTGTTCTTTTTCCATAGATAAAATCCAAAAGATGCATGGCACATATTCCATAGCTTAAGAAGAAAGTAGTGGTGACTCAAATTTATGATCTTCTCAGTTGCCACAGCAACCATGATAAGATTCAGTAAGATTGTAGATTATGACATATACATATATACTCCTAGGATTATCCTGTAAATGATTTTCTCTGAGTAATACTACCGTTTAACTTTCCTTGCTGATTATATTATCAATATCTGTAGAGTCTGAAAAGATATTAGTGCTGAAAGATAACGTGCAGGCACTAAGTGGTTTATAAACGGGCAATTTTATACATAGTTGCAAACTTAAATCTTACGTTATCCTCATTGGCCAAGAGTATTTCATTTTAGTGGGAAATTTTTTCTCTTGTGTAACTCAGGTTGGTTGCAGTGTCCCTCTAGGATTTATTTTTAATTCCATTGTTTTTCAGTAGACATTGCTGTCACTGGGAAAGACCACAAAATGATATAATAAATGTGGGGTTTCATTGGCAGGCAAATTATTTCATGCTGAATAGACAGTCTGGAGAATATTTGGAAGGTAGTTAAAGAATACAGTTTAACAGGTAGTTGAAGAGCCTTAACCCTGAAATAGCTGTAAAAACAATAACCCCAGTGAAATAGATAGTTGGATCAGTTGTGAAAAAGCTGCACAGGATGTGGAGCTGCCAGTTATAGACAGACAGTTTCTCTGCAAAGGCATGAAGTAATGCACAATCTCACCAGCCTCCTTTCTGACTAAAGCAGATCATCATAAAAGGCAAGGTTGGCTCAGTTTAGGAATGTGGCTGAGTTACACCACCACACTCCATCTCCTGTGAAAGTCTGGAACTCAATTTCATCACACGTTTGAGTCAGTCGGGTCAGGAGGGTAAATCAATCACATGAAGCTAGCCCTTCAATGGTGAATTTAATTTCCAGTGCGTCAGTATATGGAAACTCCTGAAGCTGTCTGATGGATGGTCTGCATGGCTTTGACAATGAGGTATACACTGCTGAAATGGAGGCAGGTTAGTTGAGATATGAAATCAATGGGCCAAATTGAGACAATTCACAATAGGATCAACTCCAGTCAAGTCCACTGAGGCCTGGTCTACACTAGAAAATTAGGTTGGTTTAATTACACTGGTCAGGGGTATGAAAAATCCACACTCCTGAGCAGCATAATTAAGCCAACCTAAGTCCCCGTGTAGACAGCACTAGGTCAATGGAAAAATTCTTCCATTATCCCTGCTACCACCTCTCAGAGAGGTGGATTATCTATGCAGACAGTGTAGGTAGTGTCTATCCTGAATCACTGCAATGATGCCACTGTAGTGTTTTAAATGTACACAAGTCCTGAGTCATGTCCATTTATACCAGGTTTGAATATGGCCCTTTTCTTTTGTAGGCATACTAAGAATTGCACTTGGCCTCTAACCATTTAGTCATGACAACGCAAAGACAGAGAAGGGAGTTCCCTGAGGTACACGGCTCTTTTGAAAAGTCTATTGAAGATCAAGTGTTTTCAATCCTATTCTGAAAAAAGATTTCTTCAGAAATCCATCCAGATTTATCTTGGTAATCCTTTATACACAAGCTGAAATCCTGGCTCTTTTTTTTTTTTTTTTTTTTAAGTTTTAAATGTTTTTAAGGTTTAAGTTTAATTCTGTAGATTTACAACAAGTGCTGAACTTTTTTGGTTTGTATTATAATTATGTTTGAGTGTTGTAAAGTGCCACGGTTAGATTTTCTAGGCAAGTGCCCTATAAATGACATGTTATTTGCAGAGGCAAGGTGGGTGAGGTAATATCTTTTATTGGACCAATTGCTGTTAGTAAAAGACATGAGCTTTCAAACTTACAAGAGCTCTTCTTCAGGTCTGGGAAAGGTACTCAGAGTGTCACAGCTAAATACAAGATGGAACAGATAGTTTAGCATGAGGCGCTAACATGTTGTAAGAGGCCATATCTCTGCAGTCACAGGACAAAGGATGGTTAGTGTTATAGATTGTTGCAATGAGCCACAAATCCAGTGTCTTCATTGATTTTTAGTGTCTAACAAAGTTACAAATTTAAGCTCCCAGGCTCATCTCTTGAAGGTGGTATACAAGTTTTCTTTGAGCACAAGGACTAAGAGGTTAGACACGGAGTGATCTTTTTGTGAAAAATGTTTGCCTGCCGCCGATAGGGTGTTTTTATGTTTTGTAATTTTTCTGTGGGAGTTTATTTGAGAGTGTAGTGATTATCTTGTTTCACCCACGTAGTTGCTACAGAGGCATTTAGTGCACTGGATGAGGTACACCACATGTTGTGATGGGCATGTGTAGGACCCAGGGATCTTAAAAGGTGTGTTGTGGGGAGTATTTATCACTAACAGTGGAGAAAGATGCAAAACCTGCAGACTGTTGTTATGGCTTGGTGTTGGTGGGTCCTGGTCAGTGGGGAGCTTGCTTCCGACAATGGACTTGGCAAGCTTGGAGGAGTTGTTTGAAGACCAGAAGAGGGGTTTACAATACCTAATAGTATAAAACTATTTTCTAAACATTAACATGGCAAGTAAATAGCTATAGGCTCCTGATTGCAGCATCAGCAGGTGATATTATCCAAGTCATTAACACTCAGATGGCTATAGGGCCACCACTGGTGAGAATGGGGTGGGAGACAGACATGGCTATTGGCTGAGGCCCTGTCATGTGACTATGAAACACACTAACACGGTAAGTCTGACTATACAGCAGTAGTAAGCTTCATCAGTGCCTGTAGCTGCTATAGAAGAGATCCAATGAGAGGTTACTGCTGGTGAAGGCGATGCTTAAGGAAGCCAGGGATATAATGTGAAGATCAGTCCTCGACAATCCAGGACACAACTGGGGTGAAATGCGCAACTCATTGAAAGGCAATGACAAAACTCCCATTGATTTCCATGTCTGAGTGCAAGCAGGGTTAAGCCGCGAGACAGATAGTTCTCCCCACTGAGCAGAATGAGGTCTGTGTGCACCTGAGCCCTTACTTACAAATTTACAAATGGCTAAATGAGTAGAGTGGATGTCTTAGAGTCATGGGCTTAAGCATGAATCTCGTCTTGAAAATCAGGCACATAGTGTATGTCTACACTGCAAAAAAGGTGTGTTCTTAACTCGGATCTAGTGAAGATAGCAGTGAAGACACACCAACTGTGCTTTTAACTTGGATTAGCACCTCAAGTAAAAGCCTATAGAAGAGCCCGGGTTGAACTCAAGCTACTAATGTAAGTTAAAAGCTGAGTTGCTGTGTCTTCACTGCTATTTTAACCTGAGTTATGTACCCTGAGTTAAGAATACATCGTTTTTGCTGTGTAGATGTACCCTTAGCAATAAATTCCCCTCACAAGCTTTACTCCTCTGATCAGGCAGGAGTAATTTTTCAGATGTGCAGCAGAGGAAGCTTCCTTTGCTCTCTGTCCTGCTCATCACTTTTCCCCTTGTGCTTATACATGCAGGACTCTACTGAGGACCAAGCCCTCAGTGGATCTAGAAGTCTGGATACAAAGAAGATCCCTGAACAGATGCTGCTAATTTCATAGCTCAGCTTTGCAGTGCCCAGTAAGTGCATAGCTCTGCCTGTCTTCCTTTTATATGTTTTCATTCCATTCCATAATAGTAATGCAATTATTATATCCAGGTACTCCAGGGAATGCATTTCTAGAGGATTATTGCACGTCTCAAGGAACTAAAATCATTTTTCTGTCAGCCCACTGCCTACCACATAAGTAAGCTGCAGTCACTCAGAATGACATTGCCTTACTGATTAAGTAGATGTGCCCGGTTCAGGTATCACTATGCCTGAGCAGGCTTCACAGACCTATTGAAGGCTCATCTTTGGCTCGCAGAAGCAACTCTATAAGAGGAGTTGTAGAAGGCACTGCACCTAAGAGCTCCCCAGACTGCAGCACACAGGCAGCATGCACTGTCTGCAAATCAAAGGTGAGACACACAATGGATTCACTGTCTTGGGAGCGGCCAGCAGTGCTATCCAGAAGCAAAAATCAAGGGATTGCAATAGATCCTGCAAAGGACCCAAGATGGCAAGGAAAACTTTGCACAGGGACTAGGCATAATTTAGCCCTTGAAGTGGTTGATATCATCAACACTGTGCCTTTAGTGGTTTGTATTTGTGCTGTCCTATGATTGATCAATTAAACTGAATTCACAAACAACAAATGCATAGATTTAGGCCTTAATCTAGCAAATGCTTGCACAATAAAAAGTATGGAGTGGTTGCGCTCTGACAGAAGGGTGAGCAGAGGTGACATGTGAGAAGAAGTAAGGTTGAGCTTTAGGCACTGTCTGCAAATCAGTCTCAAGAGCATAGGATTCAAAAAGGAAAGGTTTGGGTGGAGAGTGGGCATATCTTAGGATACATTGTCCCAAAATATGATCCCTCTATTATAAAGGAGCTTAACTACACATGTACTTCTTTGGCTTTACTCCAGCTGTTATGTAGGAGTAACTTTGTGACATTCTGCCATGTTCTCACTAATGCAGGATGGGATTCTCCTGAGTATCTCCTGTTCATTACTTTTTATCTTGCACTTATTCATGCAACAGCCTGCAACTGCACTGGGCAGCTTCAAACCCTTAAATCAATCTGAGTAACTATCTAATATTTGGAGGGGATCCTTCACTGTAGTACGTGAACAGTGAAATGGTCAAATATACCATTAGGCTTCCCAGTAAAGGAGACACAACTGCTGTCAAAGACCAAAAACAAGGCCTCAGTGAAGCATAAACATAGGGCCTGCTTTTTAGAAGTGCTGTTCATCTGCAGCTCCAGCTGAAGTCAATGGGAGTCTCTGAAACCAGGCCCACAAGCTTTACATTTACCAAGTTAAGGTATAATCACAATTGTGAAATTAAACTTTGTGATCACTGGGTGCACCAGCCAAAATGTTCAGAAGTGGCCACCAATTTTAGGTGCCCGCCTTGAGACACTTCGGGTCCAATTTAGAGAGGTGCTGAGCACCAACAGCTCACACTGACTTATGCTGGAGTTATGGGTGCTCAGCATTTCTGAAAATCAGGCCTATGGTGTCTCAAACTTGAACACCCAGAAACAGAAGCACCTAAAAATCAGTGGACACTTTAGAAAGTTTGGCCTAAAAGACTAATTCCAGGATTTTATAAAACTTTACTACATTATCATTCTTTTTAGAGTGCATTTTCCTTTATTCTGTGCATACTGAGGTATTGTTTAAGAACTGCCTACGATTCTTTTAGTATAATTTTGGTCCATTATTAGAAATTTCCAGGACAATGACCTATACATATATCAAAAGGCTATTAAAAGCAACACAAACAATCCTCATAACACTTACGTATTTCACAATTTGCTCCAACCCAGCCGTGTGGACAATGGCACGTATAACCATTGGGTTGGTCTATGCAAGTCCCAGCATGATGACACGGATTGCTGTCACAGTCATTTATATCAAATTCACACTCTTCACCTTAAAGTAAAAGAGAAAGATGCTTGTAGATGTATCATGTATCAAGCCAGTTGTGTCATTTCAGTCATTAAAACCAAAAGTTAGCTAGATTCACAATGATGTCATTAATACTAGTTATTTCATTCTCACATATCAAACATTTATTGAAAGAATAAAGACCACCTTTGTGACATTTTTCTGTTGAATTAGCTGAACACCTATAATTTTCTTCGGTGAAATAATATTTTGCAGTTATATATCACTTTCTGTCTCAGAATCTCAACATGCTTTTACAACTGTCAAAGAACTAGGTCTCAGATACCACTAACTGACTTCACTACGTTCACCCGCCTTCCCAGCCTTTACTTGAAACACAAGACTATCCTTCTTCCCCAGTCAAATATGATAGAACAGTTTATCACATATTATCCCATGTGCTCTTCTAGTCAGTACACTAAGGCCAGTTAATACAATCAATTCATTAGCTATTAAGGGCTACCATAAAGTGGAAGACTCCAGTCCTATTTAACTTTGTGGAAGTACCACACAGGATCAGGCCCTAAATAATATTCTCCTGTTAATCTAACAGAAAGCAGCATATGATATAAAACAATAAGTATTTGTTTATATATTACTGACAAATTGACAATTATCTTTTACATAATTGACTGAACATCAAGACAGATGTAAATTAGCTTAAAAGCAGTGTGTTTGGATTATGACAATCATATTAATTTGAAAATGAGGCAAAATGACTAAATTGGCTGCATACCTTTGCTCTGAATGTGCAAATTGATGAATATAAGCACTTCAGAGCTTACAACATATACATATTATCTGACAAAATGAACTCCTTCTTTAGCTCCCAATAATAGTTCAAGGTAGACAGATTTGCCATTTTCAATACCATCCAATTAGTATATTTGCTTTCCTGGGCATTTTCAAACTGTTATTTTTAAAATCTAGTCTCAAACAGATGTGAAGGCCAACGGCATATTGGGCTGTATTAGTAGGAGCATTGCCAGCAGATCGAGGGAAGTGATTATTCCCCTCTATTCAGCAGTGGTTAGGCCACACCTGGAATATTGTGTCCAGTTTTGGTCCCCCCACTACAGAAGGGATGTGGACAAATTGGAGAGATTCCAGCGGAGGGCAACGAAAATGATTAGGGGGCTGGGGCACATGACTTACGAGGAGAGGCTGAGGGAACTAGGCTTGTTTAGTCTGCAGAAGAGAAGAGTGAGGGGCGGATTTGAGAACAGCCTTCAACTACCTGAAGGGGGGGGTCCAAAGAGGATGGAGCTAGGCTGTTCTCAGTGGTAGCAGATGACAGAACAAGAAGCAATGGTCTCAAGTTGCAGTGGGGGAGGTCTAGGTTTGATATTAGGAAACACCATTTCACTAGGAGGGTGGTAAAGCACTGGAATGGGTTACCTAGGGAGGTGGTGGAATCTCCATCCTTAGACGTTTTTAAGGCCTGACTTGACAAAACCCTGGCTGGGACGATTTAGTTGGTGTTGGTCCTGCTTTGAGCAGGGGATTGGACTAGATGACCTCCTGAGGTCTCTTCCAACCCTAATATTCTATGATTCTATGTTACACATAATGTTGAACAGCTGTTTACCTTAGTGAATTCTCTAGTAGCAGCTACATTTTGCTGCTAAATTTTTAAAGCTAAACCAATTCTATGCAATATTAACAACTTTCAGTCTTTCAAGGTTGATTATAACCCAGCAATGTCCAAATTAATTAGTTTCCTGGAATAAATATAATCCTTTAGGTCTGTGTAGAAGACTTGGAGTTGATTGCCTATTAAGTAGACCATTTGTAAAACTGTCTCTTTATTAATTGGGCAATCAGTTTCTGGGGAAAAGAGACTGCAATATAAAACTACTACAAACTACAGAACTGTGCAATAAATTTACCACAGCTCTGCATATAAGAACTAATAAGTGCAAAGACATTTTTAAAGGTTTAGAACCAAAGTCAGCCCTTGGATGTATACAATACACATGGCTCCCATTTATTTTTCTAGGACTTGCAAGATTATCTTTAGAACACATCATTACCATTCCTTAGTTGTCCAAGGAGGTCACTCTTGTGCTTTCTCCAGGAGCTAAATACACCGCCTCTGTAACATTCCAGCCCATTCCAAGCTATGAAGCTAAAGATCAGTGGCCAAATTCTGCAGTGACTTACACCCTGTGCAACCTTCCCTGAAGTCAATGGACTACATCCTGCTCTCTCACGCTGGTGTAAGACAGAAGAATTTGATATAATGAGGTTATAAGCACAGAACTGGGCTACAAGACGGTGCAGGACTCCAGTCTTCTCCATGACAATGCATCCCAAGTAGACCAACAGATCACCTGCCTCTCTTCCAATCTATAATGGAGATGGTGGAAGAGCACAGTGCTCCTCCACAGTGCTTCTTAGTTATAAGATGTCCCTTTGCTGGAAACTATGGGAACAATAATGGAAACCTTAGTAATGAATGGGGAGGTTGCCACCAGGGTGAGGTCAGTAGTACTAGACAGATAACAGTGGCTAGTGTTGGGCCCATGTTTTGAAGACTCAGCTTGTGGCAGCTATTTTCTGCTTCCCCATTAGTTCAGTGCCTACTCTGAACGCCTACAGGTCTCGTTTCTAGGTCTGCAGCTTTTCTACGTGTTTGTTAAAGTATATACAATAGATCAGGGGTGGCCAACCTGAGCCTGAGAAGGAGCTAGAATTTACCAATGTACATTGCCAAAGAGCCACAGTAATACATCAGCAGCCCCGCATCAGCTCCCCACCACCCTGCTCCCAGCATCTCCCACCCACCGGCAGCCCCGCCAATCAGCGCCTCCCCATCCCTCCCTGCACCTCCAGATCAGCTGTTTCACGGCATCCAGGAGGCTCTGGGGAGGAGGGGGAGGAGCGAGGACATGGCAGGCTCAGGGGAGGGGGTGAGAAGGGGTGGAGTAGGGGCAAGGCCTGTGACAGAGCCAGGGGTTGAGCAGTGAGCACCCCCCGGCACATTGGAAAGTTGGCACTTGTAGCTCCAGATCCAGAGTCTGTGCTTATACAAGGAGCCGCATATTAACTTCTGAAGAGCCGCATGTGGCTCCGGAGTCACAGGGTGGCCACCCCTGCAATAGATGGTCTTGCATTTAAAAACATCAAATAAAGAGTAGGTCATTAAAAACAGATCTGAAGGAGAAACCATAAGAGGTTTCAAAACTTCATACCTATTATTTAAATATCCCAGTCCAGCATCAAAAATCTTTTAACAGCATGTTCTCAAATGTCATTAGACTATAAAAATGTAACTGATTTTAAGCCATAACAACTTCCACGGAAAGGAAAAAAACAATTTGATACAGCTGTGCTATGAAAAACAAAGTTAGGATTGACAATATACAGCAATATTAATCATCTTAATATACGATAGGCACGCATGTCCAATGGAAATGGGCTATTAGATGAAAAAGAACATGAGTCAATGGACATCATGCCCTGAGATTGTTAGGTTCTCAGCTGAAAGGAAACCTGTTAGCAAAAATGGTTAATGAAGTTATAAGTCAATTAGGAATTATTTGTGTTTGGCACAAAAGACAGTGAGCACCTGATGCCAAGTAACAACATTTAGTATTTGTATTTCTACAGTGTTATACAGACATTTTATCAGGACAGCTTCAAACAACATTTAAATCATCATACAATCATTTGATGTGAATTTAACTACTGAGAAAGGTTGAGTCAAGGGCCAGGTTTTCTTTTCCCACTTATCCAGGAATAACTCTACTGACATCAGTTAAATTATACATAAAACTAGTCTGAGGAGAGAATCAGGCCAAAAAGCCCGTGGTTTTGCAATGTTTTAATATGAATTTCAAATATCAGTAATACTGAGAATAATGAAGTATTGGCTAAAATATTATATGGTAGATGATAGCATTTTGTTGTCAGGAAATACTAGCACATTTTATGAGAACTGAATTTTTTAGATATTTCATTGCAATAGCTAAACTTTTACCTCTATTGCTCAACTTCATTTCCTAAAAAGCCCAAAGCATACATCTTTACTTAAAACTTTTAACATGAGATTTTATTAAAGGGACACCATTATGGGAATTGTAACAAGTGTGTTTTGAATGATTAATTTATCATTTTTACACCACTTTGAATTGCCTCACGGTATATGATTTCATAAATTTCCTCTCATGCTTTTTTCTTTAATGTAGCATGTCTCAAAGAAGCACCTAATTAGAATATCGATCACTTTTATACTACTTACAAGCACTACACCTTCTGGGTAACACCAAACATAAAATAGATTTATTTACACTAGCATTTACAAGCATTAACCAATTGCAACTCAGTCACATCAGTGTAAAGCTGAAATTGACTGAAATAGAGTTATTCTGGAGAGTACCTCAGAGGTGAATGTGGCCCTATGTATAAAAAGAATATGAGGACCAATATTAAATAACTTCAATACTCAAACTTTACCATAGCATCAGTAATAAAAAAGAGAGAAATTAATTCTCTTATCAATAGGTGCCTGTATCATTAGTAACTCAGACCTTCCAGCAGTTCATAGTTTCATAGATTCCAAGATCAGATCATCTAAGTCTGACCTCTTGTATGACACAGGCCATAGAACTTCCCCCAAATAATTAGATAAACATCCAATCTTGATTTAAAAATTGTCAGTGTTGGAGAATAGATTGAGCTCTGAGTCTATCACTACAAAGCATGTTTTCTCATGTTTAATCATTCTCATGGCTCTTCTCTGGGCCCTCTCCAATTTATCAACCTCCTTCTTGAACTATGGGCACCAGAACGGGACACAGTAGTGCCACAGCAGCTGCACCAATGCCAAATATAGAGGTAAAATTATTTCTCTATTCCTAGTTGAGATTCCCTGGTTTACGCATCTCAGCATCGCATTAGCTCTTTTGACTACAGTGTCATATTGGGAGCTCATGTTCAGCTCATTGTCCACCACAACCTCCAAAACATCTTGATAGTCACTGCTTCCCAGGATAGAATCCTCCATTCTGTAAAGTATGGCCTACATTCTTTGTTCCTAGATGTATACATTCACATTTAGCCGTATTAAAATGCACATTTGTTTGTGCCCAGTTTATCAAGCGATCCCAGTGACCTGTCCTCTTCATTATTTACCATTCCCCCAATTTTTGTCTCATCTGCCAACTTTATCAGTGATGACTTTATGTTTTCCACCAGGTCACTGATAAAAATGGTAAATAGTGTAGGTCCAAGAACCGATCCCCGTGGGACCACTGGAAACAGACCTTCTCGATGATGATTCCCCATTTACATTTTGAGTCCTAATAGTTTTTAATCCATTTAATGCATGTCATATTAATTTTACAGTGTGCTTAGTTTTTTAATCAAAATGTTGTGCGGTTCCAAGTCAAATGACTACCCTCATTGGCATCGTAAGGGGAATATAAAATATAAACTCAATATAGAATGAAGTAGTTTTCCCTTAAAACACATGCTATTCTGACAACTAAAACTAGTAATAACTAATGTTAAAGATGGATCCCAAGTTACAATGTTTGGATGTGGATGAGACCATAGATAGAGGTGTTCAGATTTAGTGCTTTGGTTTGGGCCCGTGTTGGTACAAATATCAGGGGGTAGCCATGTTAGTCTGTACCCACAAAAACAATGAGGACCCTGGTGGCACCTTAAAGACTAAACAGATTTTTTTTTGTAGTGAACAACTACAAAAGCAACTTTCCCTCTCCTGGCATTGACACCTCCTCATCAATTATTGAGAGTGGACTACATCTACCCGATTGAATTGGCCCTATCAACACTGGCACTCCACTTGGTAAGGTAACTTCCTTCTCTTCATGTGTCAGTATAACAATGCTTGCATCTGCAATTTTCACTCCATGCATCTGAAGAAGTGGGTTCTTTACCCTTGAAAGCTTATGCCCAAATAAATTTGTTAGTCTTTAAGGTGTCACTGGACTCCTCATTGTTTTTGTGTTGGTACAATAATTCCAAAGCAGTACTGCATTAAAAATTTAGTTTCAGCTGTACTTACAGTATTTCCCAGAAGTACAATGCAAGATACTACTGCTATATCATTTCTAGCCTCCAAAATGTCCCTTTTAACTAGTTCATTATATAAAAGAATATGGAGATACACAGATTCAGATGCTATACACTGGACATTTGCCTTCTTTTGGACACTGGGATTAACAATTATACTGTGTGTGTAATTTGCAAATTACTTGCCTGTAAATCCAGGTGCACAGATACATGTAGCATTTAGACCTTCACTGTCACAAGTGCCACCATTTTGACAGCTGATGTTAACGCAAGGATCTTTGTATAATTCACAGTGCCGTCCTGAGAATGATAAATTAGTGTTATTGACATTATTTGTACTTATGGTTAGTCAGAAATCAGAATGTGGGCTGTCTGCCATATGGAATGAGGGCAATGATTGTTCTTCTCTCAGATACCAGTGTAATTCACAAGTAAGTTGCTGAAGACAATTGTAAAGCCAATGCAAGATCAGACTCAGATCATATGTTTTTATGGTGATTTGGTCTTTAAACATAAGACTCCCCTTCTCATCAAGGCTATGTCACCTCTTCAAGCATAGCGGGCCAGTTCCTGTTCTCAGACAATGGCAGCAGTGGAATTTCTATGGCTATACAATGGTGTGATAAAGAAGCAGGTTGGGCAGCTGTTGAATATTCTTCAATGGAAATAACAGTTGCTATCTTCAGTAACAGTTCCAATTAATATGAAACTTAAAATATAATATGTACACATTATTAAGCCTATTTTCTCCTTTTCCAGTAGGCTCAGATGGACTATGGTTTGTCACGGCAGTAGAAATAGAAATCAAGTTATTCAAACATATAGGTTAACATGATATGATTGTATTTGACTGGCAAGCTCCATCCCTCTTTCTTTGATCTCCTGCCTCAGAACTTGATCTGTGCGAACTCAGTGGTTTCACTCTGCAACAGTTTGAGAGACCCTTATCGGGCACAAGGTAGGAAAGGATGGTAGATTCCCAACGGGGTTGAGGAGAAAGGTCAGCTGCCACAGTGGTATCATATATTATATCGTATCAGCTCTGAAAACACTACCACATAAGTAGACTCACTGAGCTCAATGGGACTGTTTTCATTCATAAAGTTACTCATTTTCCTAAGTGTTTACAGAGTCCTACAGGTGCAATGATATAGACTTGATCAGGGTAAATTTAGGCATGCATTGGTGGTTGTTCTATGTAAAAACTGAGAAGTGTATTTCAAGGCTAACCTTGGATCTGTTGGTTGCTTTTGCTTGCATAATTCATCTCCTTTACTTTGTGATCCACTATAATATACAATAATTTATGCTGAAATGCTGAATACTCCATGCAGACACAAGGGTACAACTTCACTGATCCTACTGTAGGGTCAAAATCTAAATGATTAATTTTAAGTAACTATCATTAATTTATTTCTGTGGGTAGTTTTGTGAGCTATGCTCACAGTTCTTTGTCGGTATTGCCTTGCATTGTCCCGAATGAAGATTACGTGCTTTACAGAGGCACCACCAACTTGAAATCTAATCAGTTAACAAAACAACAAAATTAATAATTATTTGTTTCAGATACTACATCTTCATCTGAATCTCCCTGCCAGTACAGTACTGTGGTTTTATAGGCACATTTCTCCCTTTTTTCTCTCTCCCTAGTTGCACAAAGAAAAAGGTAAAACAGCTTGAACATACAAAGGAAAACAATGATACTGAAAGTCCTGTGAAAAGCAAAAAATAAACTGGAAAAATTAGAAGAGCAATTACACCCAGTCTCTTTCAGTTATTTGTACGTTTTCATCTTATGTTTCACTTGTAAGAGTAGAAGGCAAAAATACTGAGAGAGAAATACACTTTTCAAGTTAATGATGTCCCTTTAACATCAACCCCAATTCAACAGATTGTGCCACACTTTGCTAACTATGATTATATGTATGGTAACATTATTACATTTCTCAGAAATAATAGCCTCAACAAGACACAAATTTATTTCACTTAGGATATTTGTCAGGAATTACAGTCAATGTTAGGTTTGAACTCTCTGGCATCAGCTATTTTATGAAAAGACATTAAGAAATTTACTAAATTACAAACCATTCCCATTCACTACAACATGCTTAAAATGAATTTAAGGAAAACATTTTAGCCTTCTGTCCATTCATGATAAATATTACAGGTTTCCCGTTTCAATAATGATATGGCTGAAATGAAATTAATCTAAAAGAACTACTTTGATTAGATGCAATGTATATAGAGAAAGTGTTTTGTGAAATTTCTGTCAGTTTTTTTCTTATTTGTATTACTACTATATATTTATGGAAATTATGTATCAAGTGGTTGTTTTCATCTGACATGCTACAAAAATGATGGATATATCAGGATTACAGGGGGGCACATCTTTATAATCCCAGCAATGAATAGCTCCAGATTCAGTGAGTTTTTTCCTGGGTACAAGTGACTGACTTGCTGGAGAAGTGTGGGAAGAGAGAGTACCTTGGAGGGAGGGGAATAACTGGTTCGGAAGTTAGCTAATGGCTATTAGCTACATTAGATTGGTGAGGGATGTGGGAGCATGCGGGTTGGAACAAGGCACTAAGAGAACTGAAGAGGGTTGGTGGGAAAACTTGGGATGGAGCCTTCTGGGAAAGAAAAAAACAATACAAAATCATAGACATAGGGCTGGAAGGGACTTCAAGAAGTCATCAAGTCCAGCTCCCTGTGCTGTGGCAGAACCAAGTAAACCTAGACCATCCCCAACAGGTGTTTGTCCAACCTGTTTTCTAAAATGTCCAATGATGGGGATTCCACAACCTCCCTTGGAAGCCTATTCCAGAGCTTAACTACCCTTATAGAAACACGACACATTTCACCTCCATCACTTCTATCTCTGTGTATTTTTTGTTTTTGATCTATTTAGATGGTAATTTCTTCAATTATGGACCTATCTTATGTTTTATGTCTTTGGGTGCTGTAATACAAATAATAAATAATAATAATATTCTGCAGGCCTGAATGAAAATGAGAATGAGAGGGATTTACATAATTTAGCTGGTAATACATTTGTTTTATGCATACACTTAATCTTATTTTACAATGTCCTTTTCAGCTTGTGCTTTATCCTTGCCCATTCAAGCAGTATTCCTTATGTCAGAATACTTGGCAAAATTCTGTAAATCAGTTATGAGTTCTTTTATGGCCATCTGACCAGAGAAGAGCACATTTCAACATCAGTGTATTATGTTAACCAGCACAGAGAAAGAGGCTATCACATTATTTTGTTCCAACCAGACTTTTACATAGACTCCAAATCAGACAAAGGTCTCAGAAATTTACAAACAAAGCATTCAATGTTGCCTGACAATTCTCCCTTGCACCCAAGAAAGAGTCTCCCTAGAAATTAATGAGCAAATATTTTTAGTGTCCATCTTATGGGCCCAGTTGTGCAAACACTTATGCATTTGAATAATTCGACTCTTGTGAGTAATCCTATTAAAATAAATGAGTCTGATTCTCTACTGCTCTGCACTTTGTAGAGTCACGTACAACAGTGCAAAGTAGGTGTGAAATGCTACCAAACCAGGTAATAGTAATGTTCTATACCCACTTTACAGTGGTGTAGGTGACTACACAAAGTGCAAGGCAATGGAGAATCAGGCCGAATGGAACTACTCGAAGTAGAAAGCACAATGCCTTATAAAAAGTGTTTATAGGATTGAGCCCCATGCTGGCATTTCAATCAAATGCACAAAATTAACTTCCTATAATTTTAGGGGTTAAAACTTTGGATTTTTTTTTTTTTTTTTTTTTTTTTTTTTTGCTAGATACACTTGTTGTATTGACAGTTTAACATGAAGTCTAAGCCAAAGCACTCTTGAAAAGACCACTGTTTCCATTGTCACTGAAAAACTGATGGTTAATTCCTCATACTTGGCCACTGGAATGATGCATTCTTCATCTAGAGGCAAAGAACAGAGCACACACCAATATAAAATATATACTTAGCCTCAAGCAGCAGCTGACTGAGCTTCAGTCAAAGAGATAAGGATTTTTTGTTTGTTTGAGGACATGTTTAATGTTCCTTAAAACACTACTCTCTCGCTCTCTCTCTCTCTCTCTGTGTAAAAACAAAACATATATGGTTTACTCTTTTTACTGAAAACTAAATAAATCTATTCTTAAAATATTCTGGATGAATTCTTTATTTTACAAAATTCTTAGGAAATGTTATATGAAAGCAAAATCTGTTGAATCAGGTATGACATTGACTTCAGTCAACATGGAGGAGTGTTCACTGAATTATCATTACTTCTGAATTTTATGATTTGCAAATAAACTTCCAGATAACTGGTTACATTTTTATTTTTTCACTGCAGACAGTTTTAAATATAGGTTTTTGTTTCTTTGTTTTTAACTCATTACACTAGAGAAAATCTAACAGAAATCTGGAAAATCCTCCAGGTAATGGTTCCCAGCAATAACTGATTACAAACTATATCCAACAGCCTCTTAAAAAACTAATCACTTTAACTCACATCTTTAACAGGAACCGAATAATCTAGTACGCCTACAAAGTAAAGACCTGAACAAGGAAATCCTTACCCAAGTTAATTTTGTTCATATGAGTAATACCATTGACTTCAGTGGATCTACTTATGTAAGTAAGAATTACTCACTTGAGTAAGGGTGTGGGATCAGGACCTACTTTAAATTAATTTTCCTACTTTATGCAGTGGCATACCACAACTTAACTCCTCACTTCATAATTTTGTTATCCAGAAAGAAAGCATTAAAAAGCATGTGGAGTAAGCTATACTTACACAACAAAAGGCAAAAACATATTTTACCTTCATATTCAGCAAGGCATACACATTCATAGCTATTGACAAGGTCTCTGCAGGTGGCAGCATTCTGGCAGGGTGCAGAAAGGCATTCATTATATTCCTCTTCACAATAGAGGCCATGGTAACCTAAAGCGCATGTGGGAGAAAATAGAATAAGCTATGAAATGCTTCCTGATAAAAAGGTAACAATTTAGCTATCTTGGATTGTGGGTAGATGGTAATTAATTGAAAAGGTATTGTGTCTTTAAGGCCACAGGCTATCTATTACACAAATAAAATGTATAAAAAAGGGTAGTATGTCTGATAGATGGAACTCTGTACATTTATTATATGGTGAACTACAACATTTCCTAGACTACAAAGACAGATGACCAAGACCATTATTGAGACTCTGAAGAAAATGTGTTTTATTGTAGCAGTGAAATAATCCAATAAATACATAGTCACCAATTTTTATGATTAGCTTTGCCCTGCAGCAATTTCACTTGCTTGGAGTGATGATGATCATGTAATACTACAGTTAGCATTTATGCTGTGTCTTCTTATTCTTAACACTGTGCAAATTCAAAGTGCTGCACAAACATCTAACAATTCAATTTTCAGAGTACTCATGGGAGGTAGGCAAGTATTATAGCCTGATTCTGCACACGGAGCAAATGGAAGCATAGAAAGGCTATGTAACTTGCTAGTGGCACAACAGGATGAGAAATCATGAGTTATGTTATCCACTTGACCAACCAGCATTTTGCATGGTCTAGTGGATCATGTGGTCATCTGTCTTAATACAGTAACTCCTCACTTAACGTTGTGGTTATGTTCCTGAAAAATGTGACTTTAAGCGAAACGATGTTAAGCGAATCCCATTTCCCCATAAGAATTAATGTATATATATATAAAGTAATATATATATATATATATATACACACACACACACACACACAGTATAAGTTTTAAACAAACAATTTATACTGGTACACCGATTGTGAAGCTTGATTGAGGTGGAGGAGTCAGAGGGTGGGATATTTCCCAGGGAATGCCTTACGGCTAAATGATGAACTAGCAATTGGCTGAGCCCTCAAGGGTTAACTCTCACACTCTACAAGGCAGCAGGAATGGAGGGAGAGGAGACAGCATTGCAGACAGAGACAGAGACACACACCATGTGTGTGTGAGAGAGATGCACATTTCCCCTTTAAGTACACTTAATTAGATCAGCTTGCTGAGACCGCAGCTGCTGCAAGCGCCCTCCATCCTGAGCCCTGTCGTGTCTCCCCCCTGCTGTATGGAAGATGGGGTAAGTGGGGTGCAGGAGCAGGGGGGAGGGGGACACCCTGACATTAGTCCCCCCTCTACCTTTTCTCCCCCCCCCCGCACAGCAAGCAGGAGTCTCGGGGAGCAGCTCCAAGGCAGGGGGCAGGAGCAGCACATGGCAGTGGAGGGAGGGACAGCTGCAATTGCTAGCCTGCTGGGCAGCTGCTGCACAGGGAACTTAGGGGAGCGGGGAGCTGACAGGGGGAGCTGATGGGGGGCTGCCAGTTCCCCCTGGTTCCAAGTCCCCACCAGCTAGCTGCAATGGGCTGCTCTTCCTGCAAGCAGTGGACAAAGCAGGCGGCTGCCAAACAATGTTAGAAGGGAGCATTGCACAGCGTTAAACCAGCATGTTCCCTAATTGATCAGCAACGTAACGACGAAACAACGTTAACCGGGACAACTTTAAGTGAGGAGTTACTGTAGTAGTTGAAATGTCTTTTTCAACATACTGCATTAGGTCAAAGAAGCATTTTTTTCGTATCAGGTAACAAGATAAATAAGACCATTAGTGTAGTTTGGGGTAGTGGGGGGATTGACTAGCCACAATACAGAGTTACAAGAGTTTTGCTTTATAAGACTGATTACAAAAGCATTATCACAGCTTCCTCCCTGACCACTATACTATATTTTCTTCTGGATCTATGTACATAATTCATAATATGATTTGTATACAAAGAACAGAAGAGTATACATTGTACCTTCTGTTTCTTGATTCTCCTGGCCAATTTACTACTGCAATGGCTCTCAGCCTTTCCAGACTACTGTACCCCTTGCAGGAGTCTGGTTTGTCTTGTGAACCCCAAGTTTCACCTCACTTAAAAACTACTTGCTTACAAAATCAGACATACAAATACAAAAGTGTCACAGCACACTATTACTAGAAAATTGCTTCTTTTCTCATTATTACCATATAATTATGAAATAAATCAATTGGAATATAAATACTGTACTTACATTTCAGTGTATAATATATAGAGCAATATAAACAAGTCACTGTCTGTATGAAATTTTAGTTTGTACTGACTCAGTTAGTGCTTTTTATGCAGCCTGTTGTAAAACTAGGCAAATATCTAGATGAGTTGAAGTATCCCCTGGAAGACCTCTGCCTACTCCCAGGGGTCCATGTACCCCTGGTTGAGAACCAGTGCACTGCTGTATCCTATATTACTTATATAGAGCTACAAGAGTGTGCAGTACTTTACACATAATTCTATTCAATACAAAGAAACTCTTTAAATTATTTTTTTAAATTGTTTAAATTTCTTCTTTTTTGACCCATGGTATTTAGTCATTAAAGAAAAGTTCCCCCTTTCTTCTCTTCCAGCTATGTATTACAATCTGTATTTAAAATGCAGGGCCCTCCATCTTCAGTATATTTTATTTATTAAACATATTTCTACTTTTCTCCCAATTCAGTAGTCGTATCTAATTTTATAGCCAATTAAGACATATGCAAGATTGACTATATCAGTTCTTTCTCCCATTGATATTGATGTTTAATAAGCAAAAAGAATTATTTAAAGGCAGTGATAAGATGAAAATTTACATTTGTTCTCTCCCTATTAATCAAGCTTTAGGTCAGAAAAATTTAAATATCCCAGCTGTGTTTGACCTTTTACTGAATTGAAGTGATATTCTCTACAATGAAAAAAGCAACAGCTAATTTACTGAACTCAACTCAAGTTGTTTTCCTTTTAGTACTATGTAATTATGTTGCTTTCTTACCTTTGGGGGAAAATATGGAGGGCGAATGATGGTGGTTTTTATTTTGTACAAGAGATTATACTGAAGACTTTTTGACTTCTTTGAAAGAGATAAAGAGTTCTTTTTCTGTAACTGTCTCTCTCTTTTGTAACATTTAAAATTCCTTTTGGAAATTAAGTCAAGTTGTAGAATGAACAGACTTTGATGAACCACATGCATCAAACCACTTGCTATGTTCTATGAAATGACTGATAAAATGAATACTAAGGACTCAACTGTCGTTCTGCAACAAGCCCTGAGTAAGGAGCAATGCATAGTTGTGCTTCCCCAGGAAAGCAGACCAAAGACCATCTTGTGACCTTGCTCCAGGGAGGAAGTAATCTGCTCCATCATGATACTTAGTGCTGATTACTTCCTCATCTGTACTGGCCAATGCATTAGGTTGGTAGAGCCTTAGCTCCACCCAATCCCTGCCCCTGCAAGCTCACCTGAATAGGAGGGAGAATAGAGGCCTTGCAGAGGCTGCTCTTCACCCCCCCAGACTAGTGATGAAGATAGCCTGTGCAGGGGATGAGGGAGTCTTCTGCTCTCTTGTGCAAGCGGATAAAGTGGATTACACATGAGCCATAAAGGTGGTGATATTCTCAACACTATCAAAATTTAGCGAACAACCCTGAGCACCCAACTCTCCATTCTTTGACTCGAGTTTTTCCCTCAATAAAGAGTGCAGAATGGGCTTTGAGTCCATGATAATGCTACTCTTTTTAGCCCATGTTCTCAAATATTGCAGTACACTTATTACGTACATCCACTACCATAAAGTTTTATTAGTATTATTAAGCACTGAATGTTCTCAACACTGTACAAGACACCAGTGCAAAAAGTTCCTGTCCTGTAACAATATAAACAAAATTATTTTAGAAACTTGTTTGGAGCTTTGTCTATCTTTCCTACTGTCTTGCTGTTTAGCTGGCTGTGAAGAGTGTTTTCAGAACAAATTCAAAAACCTTGGCAGTTAGAATTTTGGCATTTCATTTTAATTTTGAAGTATTTGTTCAGATTTGGAAACAAAAATAGCCTGGTGAAATTTCACCAGTTTTTTAAGTGGAAATTGGCTCAGTCACTCAGACCTGATCAAATTTCAAATGCTCTTGAAATTTCATTCTGACAAAGACCAATTTTTACATAAAACATGTAATTACACATGTTTTGAAACTAAAATCATTGTTTCACAAAAGGCATGTAGAGTTGCATGGAAAAGCCATATGTCACAGTACTTAATACTACATATTATAAACACATCTTTTCTCCACAACCACTTTAATTTCGAATGTATTGCCTCTCTGAGGTATCACAGCATCTTTTCCACTGAGCTCTTATGTGTAACTGGGATACAACACTATGAAAACTGTTTTGTAAATTATAATACAGTACTGGGTGTCATAGGCACAGGAACTAGAGGTGCAGGGGGTGCTGCAACACCCCCAGGTTGTATGCGGAGCTGCTGGCCCTGCACCCAGGCCTCCACTCCCCAGCCCAGGGCTTGGGTCCCAGCTGCTGGTCATGCTCCCCAGCCTGTGGCCCCATGTCTGGGGCTCCAATCCTGGGGCCCCGCGCCCATGCCTCTGCTCCCCGGCCCTGTGTCTGGAGCTCAGGTTCTGCCCACTGGCCCTGTGCCCGAGGACCTGCACTCAGCCCCCCACTCCCGGGGCCTCAGCCGATGGCCCCGAGGTCGGGACTCTGCTAATAGCCCCGTGCCCGCCCCCAGACTTTGCCTCCTTACCCCTGTCCAGGTCCCCCCCTCCCAGAGACACGGCACTGCTCCCAGCCCCAGCTGCAGGGGGAGGGCGGACAGGGTAAGGGGCTGGCTTTCAGCACTCCCACTATTAAAAGGGTTTCAGCACCATTGCTGGGTGTTAAAGCAGTGATTGTATACTTTAAAAAGTCTTGAATCACTTGTTTGTTACATATATTTATAAAAACAAGGAATAAAGAAATAACTGGAAAAAGGGTCTCAAATATCAGTGTGAATGTAACAGTTCATAATGTGTGGGTTCTCCACTGTATTTTACATTTCATCAAAGAGTCTGTAGCTTGTTGTGAAAACAGTA